TTCTCTTGATATAAAAGGGAGTCTGCTACCAAAGCATGCAATGAACAGGACCTTCCTCTCTAAATATCCTTGTTGAGGTCTGAAAGTGCTCAAGTAGAGAGATTGGAATCTAGCCCCTGGTGAAGTGACAGTCCAGATCCTTTGGGTACAGAGAAGTGCTATAAGCAGTGATGCAGCTTTGGGCTGCACCAAAAGCAGTGTGACCAGCAGGCCGAGGGAGATTCTCCCCCTGTACTCATGAAACTCCACCTGGAAGACTGAATCCAGCTCTGGGGCCTACAACCTGTTGGAATGAGTCCAGAGGAGGCCATGAAGATGCTCTGAGGACTGGAGCACCTCTGCTATGGAGACAGGCTGAGAGAGCTGGGCTTGTTCAGCCTGGAGAAGAGAAGGCTCCAGAAGACCTTAGAGCAGCTGCCAGTGCCTAAAGGGGCCAACAAGAAAGCTGGAGAGGGGCTTTTGACAAGGGCAGGTGGGGACAGGACAAGGGGGAATGGCTTTAAACTGACAAAGGGGAGTTTGAGACGAGATCTGAGGAAGAAGTTCTTCCCTGTGAGGGTGGTGAGACCCCGGCCCATGGGCTTTAAGCAACCTGGTCTAGTGGAAAGCATCCCTGCCTATGGTAGAGAAGTTGGAACTTCATGATCTTTAAGGTACCTTACAACCCAAACTATTTCATGATTCTATGATTGATGGCACCAGAGACTGAAGTTTACAAATCGGTAGCATGTGACTTTGGAAGAAGGTAAGATAAGCTAGGGCACATCTGCTGCTCAAGGTGGTTGTATGTGCTTGCTTATTCCATCAAATGAAAATACCCCTTAGTCTTCAAAAGGCATAAACATGAAAAAAAACCTTTACTACAGGATAGGAATATAAAATCAGATGATCAGAGCAGCTGTCCTGTTGAGAGCTCACAGCAGAACGCTGTGAGATAGCTGTTTGGATCACTTTACCAACAGACTGCAAGATTTTTCTTTTCTTCATCCTTTCATTTCAGGAGGAAGAAGGGGAAACTGAACAGAAAAATGAGGCATGAAACCAGGGGTCTGATTGTCATTTATTTCCACCCACAGCGCAGCAGAAAAAGGCTGGAATCTATTAAGTAGTTCAAAACTGAACTGGATCCAGTTGTCAAGCTGAACATTTGATGTGTATGGGGAAAAAAAAAGAATCACCACAATATCACTTCTAGCAATTATGAAAGCGCAAAGATACGTGCATTATAAATGCAGTCTCCTAAAAAGCTTGCACTCAGACAGCATGCTGATTAGCAAGTGGTGAGATACCTATTATATTTAAAGTCTAGCATGACCAAGGAACAGAAGGAAAACTGGTCTCCTTGTGGTCTCTGGGATCAGATATGGGCTTTCTAAGCAGGAAGATGATGTTCCAGTTGTGGCCAGCACTGATATGCTGTGGGATTACCAGTGAGAGAATGGAAAATACTGGCTTGGCGGAGTGTCCAGAGTTAGGCAGCTTTATGTGAAATCTGTCAGAGCTGCAAGTCCTCTTAAAGCTCAGGCTAGAGAAAAGGTGACCAAGAGGTTTGCTGCATCCAACATCACTTGATGGCATTTTGATATCTTGATTCCATTCCTACAAAACATCATGTCCAGTTCAGAATTCCATTAACTAAAGGTAAAGGCTTGGCAAAGAGTTGTACTAGAAACCATGTGGTCTATTTAGGCAAAGACAAACTTTAAGACTTTACCATTATACATACCCATTTCTATACCCGTTACCATCTCTGTACCATGCCCACAGTGATTTTTACACTTTATGAATGTCATGAGATGACTTAAAGCTCAGTATTCCCCATGCAGCATAACCAGCAATCCCAGTAAAAAACTCAGCCCAAAACCTGTGTTAAATACACAATTAGTAGAGTGTTTCAGAGGAAAAAAAAAAAAAAGCAGCCTGCTCTGTGGTTTGTTGCTCATGCAGAAGTTACACGGAAAAGAATGGAGGCAGCCCAAGAGGTTCATTTCCTAAAGAAGAATTCAAGTACTGGAAACCATTTCACTGAACATGGATTCCTTTTCCAGACTCTGGCATTCAGTAGCTTGGCAACACAAGGAGGGCTGAATGGAGATGCCATCGCGGGAGGGAGCCCTTGGCATTGCTGCATACCTGCAATTACCCTCTCCTGCCTCTGTTGCATCCTCATGGCTGTAAACAATGCTCACCACCATACAAAGCAAATGATCTGACCTAAATCCGAAGCAACACGCATGCTGACAGCTGGTAGCAGTGCCAGAAATGAAAAGTGGTCAGACTAAGGGCAGTTCATCTACCCCAAGTCTCTTTCTCCTCTCTGAAGCCATCTCACCCAGCACAGCAAATTTCCCCTTCGAGATATTACTGGAAGCATTGTTTCCCCACTCCATCCTGATACAACCCCATACTCCACAGCTTGTTCTTTACTGTCAGTTCCTGAATAAATTCTCAACCACGGTGTAAACGCAAATCTACACCACCTTCTAGAGAGGCAAAAGCGCCATTGATCTCCCTCTTTCTTATTACTGTCTCATGCCCATGAGCATCCTTATGGCTCAGTGGTCACATAAAATGGTCAGGGAAGTTTTAGTTCCATGGGTTTTTTCTCTAAGCTTTTCTCCACAGTGCTAAGCAGGAAAGCTGAGAGCATCAGAGAATGAGGTTAACACCTAGGCAGGCACCCTTTGGAAACCAGCCAGCTTAAAGCTTAACTACATACTAACTAGGAGCTGTATCAGCCTGGTATGCTCAAGGTATACCAACTGCTAAAAGGTGAACATTTATTATACCATCATCGAAACCATTCTGGGATTCTATAACTGAACTCTTAAGAAACAAAAAACACCAGAATCCTGAACTCAGGCTTCTTAATTTTGGCCTTGAACTACTTTAACCCCTCTGCTGCCAAACCATAAAAGGGTTCAAATCTGCTGGTTTAAAATTAAACCACTTGACAGAAGCTAGGCTGGACTTTCACACCATTAAGCAAACACTTCTCCACTTCAAGCAGGAGGCAGCTTGAATCCAGGGTAGTTGTTTTGTCTTCAGAGTGTCCTGGCTCACACACAAGTGCCTCCACACAGTACATTTACCCTCACCCATGACAGCACGGACTCGCCAGGGTGGGATGAGTGAGTGCGTGCTGCACCACCAGCACAGGGATGAATGAGGCTGGTGGGCAAAGCCTGAGTCAGCACACTTCCCACCAGGTCCACAATGGACAGTCCATCAGAAGCCTCGTGCCAAGCCACAAACACACAGGCCCAGCACGGTAGGTAAGCCAAGCACTGTTTGTTCTGCAAAGCCCGGCTCTTAAACCTATGGCTAGGACCATTACAAATTTATTTTTTCCCTCTACTAGGCAGAGGCTTGACATTGCTCATGCATAGCAGAGGCAAGGGATACCGCTGCCATAGTTTGTCATATTAGAGAGTAAATACAGTCAATTTCTCCCCCAAACTCTACCCAGAGATAGGTTTTGACAGTTGCAAGCTGCTCTGCTTCATTTCCTTCTGTGAAGAGCATACCAGTGGTTTCAAAGCACTGGCTCTGGAAACAGAGACAGCTATTATGAGGCTTTGGTTAAATCAACTAATTACCTGAAAAAAGCTCCCTACACCCCTTGTCTGAGGGCCACAAAGTGCCCTACATTTATCACCAGCATTTCAATAATTCCAGAGGAGAAACTCAAACTCCTATGCAGAAATACGTTTAAGTTGCAGTCATTTCAGGCTCACTCATCACGTCCATGAACACATATTGGATTATAAACCTGCCCTATGATACAACAAAATCTAGTTCTATTTTGCAAGATCTGAAAAGCCTGACCAATTGATAGCTTTTAATTTTGTATGTTAGAACATCTTTTATTAGGTTTTTTCTTTTGTCTCTTAATGACAAAGCCCTGCGCTTTTCATATTGTCGTGAAGACCTACAAAGAACTAACAAACTGCATATAAAAGGCAAAAATTATCCTAAGTTATGTCTTTAAGCCTCATGTTGATAACAATATGTCAGTGAAGAACAAGAATAATGTTTGGCACATTACCTGCTGCATCTTCCCCCGGGAAGCACCAGTCCAGATCTGTGACATTAATAAAAGCACTTGGGTTTAGTGTAGAAGGAAACTTTGGAGGCTCTAAGCAATTTTGGCAATGACACAAGCTGTATTATGACATAAAATTGAAAGTTTGATGTGAGTAAAGTCTTTATACTTCTGTACCACTGTTCAAATAGTAACATGTCCAGGCAGTTCTTGGAGTTCTGTTGGACTGAGTCCAGAGGCCATAAAGACGCCTTGGAAGGGCTGGAGCACCTCTGCTATGGAGGCAGGCTGAGAGAGCTGGGCTTGTTCAGCCTGGAGAAAGCTCCCATGTGACCTTAGAGCAGCTTCCAGTGCCTAAAGGAGCCCACAAGAAAGGAGAGGGGCTTTTGACAAGGGCAAGTAGGGATAGACAAGGAGGAATGGCTTTGAACTGGCAGACGGCAGATTTAGATGATACATTAGAAGTCCTCCCCTGTGAGGGTGGTGAGGCCCTGAAACAGTTTGCCCCAAGAAGCTGTGGCTGCCACATCCCCGGCAGTGTTCAAGGCCAGGCTGGACAGGGCTTGAAGCAACCTGGTCTAGTGGAAGGTGTCCCTGCCCATGTCAGGGTTTGGAAATGGATGATCTTTAAGATCCCTTCCAACGCAAACCATTCTAGGATTCTGTGAATCTTAGTCCACTCTCCAAGAGCAGGAGCAGCTCCTGTGCCACAGTCTCCAGCCACGAGGTACACTGTGTGGTGTACCCACTTCATTTTTCAGCTGCTAACAGAAACATTCACACTGATAACATTCCATCAGTCCCCTCCTTTTTTTTTAATAATAATGAAAAATCTCCTATCCTAAAGCCCAGTCCTACAGAAATGCTACAGTAAATTTTGCTCCAGAGTATGACAAGGGGGTGGATAGAGTATTTTCACTGCAACTACACAGCCAAATGAATAAAAGGGAATAGATCATTTTTCAAAGATGTTTAATAAGAAGAAATTACAGACTGAAAGTCCTCTGGGCACATGAAATTCATCTAATACACAGCTCTAGAATGGGTCACTTCTTACAAACAGTATTACAATTTTTTGCTTTATCATGGAAATGTTGGACTAATACAAACCACAAAATACCGAGTAAGATGCAATAGCTAGTGCTAAAAACCACAACAATACAAGTATGGCACCAAGAATGCTAAACTAAATGACATGTCATCAGGATTTACTTTTGGCAATCCTGGTTCACACTAATTCAGTTCAGAGATTCGTTCCCAGTCAGCGTCAGCACCAGGTTCAGTTCACATGCATTTTGTGCAAAGTACGCTTTGAAATTCATTAAATAATTAGTTGTGCAAACATATCTTCCTTTCACAGTAAAACAACAGTGATTTCGGGATCAGAAACAAACAAGAGAACCCCAGACAGTATTTTATTTCACAGCACATAGTGAATGTACATGTAATTGCCATAACCAGCAAGTAAGTAAAGTGCATGCCAGTAACAACTTGGACGGTAAATTGAGAACCTGCAGTGTAGTACTCAAATCTAACAAACTAATATTAATTAATACAAAACAAGGCAGAGTAAAATCTTGAAAATTAACATACACTATGTGATTTCCTGTACCGTTCTTTAAAAGGTAGGCTGAAATACCCTGACACAGGAAATTTTCACATCAACTATTAGTGGAATAAACAGTTGAAAGCTTCATTAGCTAAAAATATTGCACCAAAATTGTTGTATTTGAAAGCAGTAAAAGAAGAATTTTCTAATATAGACACTTAAAAAAAAACCCAAACCCAACAAACAAAAACACCACACACACATATTACAACAGCTACTTTGAACTAAAATAGCTGCTGAACTGTAGGAACTGAAGAAATTAGTGTTCTCTGCCACAGGCAATAGACATGTGCGCTCACAGCCCAGAATGCCAACTGTGTCCTGGGCTGCATCACCAGCAAAATGACGAGCAGCTTGCTCTTTCTAAATATTTCATTCTAGATTTCAAGATAGAAATGTCCACCTTGAGCAGATCCAAAGGAGGCCACCAAGATGATCCAAGGGCTGAAGCACCTCTGCTATGGAGACAGGCTGAGAGAGGTGGGCTTGCTCAGCCTGGAGAAGGCTCCAGGGAGACCTTAGAGCAGCTTGCAGTGCCTAAAGGAGCCAACAAGAAAGCTGAAGAGGGGCTTTTGGCAAGGGCAGGTGTGAACAAGACAAGGAGAATAGCTTTAAACTGACAGAGGGGAGATTGAGATATGAGGAAGAAGTTCTTCCCTGTGCGAATGGTGAGACACTGGAGCAGGTTGTCCTGAGAAGCTGTGGCTGGCCCATCCTGGCAGTGTTCAAGGCCAGTTTAGATGGGGCTTTGAGCAACCTGGTCTAGTGGAAGGTGTCCCTGCCTGAGCAGGGGGCTGGAGCTGAAGGATCTTTAAGGTGCCTTCCAACCCAAATCATTCTACGATTCTACACTACATGGATTACCTGGAATCTCTCCTATGTAGTATCAAGTAGGTTAGGAGGGGAAAAGGTCTCGCTGTCCTGTGGTCTCCATGAAGCCAACTGGGAACTCAACAAAACTTATTAGCCAAAAAGTTTGCAGTATTCCCTTTTCTTTTAGAAATAGAGGTCTATGAGAAGTCTTGAAAAGTTTCATCACCAGTTAGTACAAATAAACAAAAGCCATGAATTAGATGCATGTACCACAAATGCCAAATACTACACAGATGCCTACAGCTCCAGCAACAGGCTCCTCAGTCTGTGAGTCTGAGGGAGATAACACAAAAACCACATGATGCTCTACATGACTCATGAAGTTCTTCCCATTTGTAATCAGAAATGAACAGTAAAGAGATCCATGGAAAACGAAGGACAGAGAAGCAAAATGACAAGAGACCTTCCACTGACACTCGTCAGAGATCTGGCAGCCTAGCTCCACCATGGTATTTAGGGACCACACTAAGTAAACACTGTGCTCATGATGCTCTGAGGACACCGCATCCCATGTCAGACTATTACCAAAAATCTGAAACCACTGTGTGCAAGTGAGGGGTACAAACAATGAACTCCAAGAGCTGAATAGATTCACCCACAATACTTTCCCCACTCCAAAATCAACTCCTTCACTACGTATGCAGTTTAAAAGGGAAAAATAAACACACAAAAAAGTATACATGATCATCAGTGATCATCATTTCCTTTTGGAAATCGAACATATTCTACTTTGATACTTTTTATAAGTGACTTAAGTAAGCAAAACATTTATCAAATGGCAAAAAAAAAACAACAAAACCTGCTCAGTGAGCAGATATCTCTACCAATACATGCACATTAACTAACCACCTTCTCCATTTTCCAGGATGTGGCAACAGACAGCTGTGGCCACTAAGTCTTCATTATTCTTATAAAATTTCTAGGTACATTAAAAGCACAATTGAAACCTATTAAAAACATTTGCTTAGGGAACACAAGGTTTTATCACCATCATTTGCTCACCTCAGCATTAAGTTACAAACAAAAGCCTGAGTGACTTGCAGTTGGACATCTGGTCTTTAGTTCAGCTATTAACTTTTTTAAAGAAAGACCTTGAGAGGGAATTAATAAGCTGTAATCATCTAAAGTAGTCTCATATGCATTTCATTTCTCCTTCACTTCTTCTTTGCAGTAAAAAAACCCAACCTTTCAAAAGCAGCAACATAAAAAAAGCACATAAAAGTTGATTCAGATTATATCACATCCTTTCATATTTACAGATTTTCTGTAGTAAAGAAGCCACTATCATTGTTCCACCGCAATTAAAAGTCTTGGCCTTTTTAATCCTAAAACAGCCTTCAAACATCATCTAAGTCTGGAAATCATTTCAAAACCCACAGGAACTCAGTAACAGCAGCACTGTACTCCAGACAATATTGCAAACAGCTCCCACACAAAGTGTCTATTAAAGAAACAGTCTTGATAAATACAGTTCTCTGATCCTCTTCTTCCTCATGATACCATCCCCACTGGCTCCTGTAGGCGCTACGTTAATTTCTTCATTCTGCGGTTCTGCTTGTCAATATTCAGCGTCGCACGGTCTACAGAGGTAGTGATGGAATCAAGAGCTTCATCCTGTCTCTCCAGCTCAGCTTCTGTCTCCAAGGCAAGGCCCTTCAGCTTCTTTAGTATCTGTCAGAAGAAAAGACTGAGCACTTTCAGCAATCGACCAGCTGGTTCTTTGAGAAATGTAACAGACCCATGGCAATTACTTATTTCATTGTTGTAATTTTATTTCATTTATTGGAGTCTGCCCTGAGGCATGCTGGTGAAAAGAAATTTCTTACTCTGATAAACTAAATTGAGATGAATGAAACAAGGAACTAAAGACCAGAAAATTCAAATCTGATCTGTTAAGGTTAGAGGGGAGGGAAGAGAATAAATTAGAAATAAAAATCATTTAAGCACGATTTGTTGTTTGTTGGCTCTGTTATTACCTCCTTGGTATGTCTGCATTCCAGAGCAGTAGCTTGTACTGAGATTACGTGCACGTTGAGAGCTGATAGGGAAAGCAAGCACAGCTGGTAGAAAGCCAGAAGGGGATCACATGGCTGAAGGCATAGTAATGTTAGGCATTGACAAGGTCAAAGGACAGAAACTGTTCTTTTTCTACAGCCTACTAAAGAAAGAAGTGTCAGTAGTTGGAGCAGATGGGAAAAGTGAGAATTAGGCAACCAAGCAAATCATTTTCAAGGGACTGGAGGGTGGTGTGGTATGAACAGACATCAAGGCAGCCAAGAGGCTCAGGCTGTACCTGAGATGAGAAATAACAGATGTACTGGCTAGAGCTCTACTCCAGGCTGTATGCATTGTATTACATATCAACCAGTTTACACTACATTTAGCAAATTACTGTTCATATGTGGAACTGCAAGCTAACATCCTCAGCTACTCCAAGATTGTGAGGGGACCATGTAGTCTTAAAACGCCTATAGATATTGGTCCAAACAGGGCAGAAGCCTCTAAAATGGAAGAAGAAAGCCAAGCTTATATATTCTCAAGGCTGAGCCATCCATAACAATACCATACGCTGACTTATGGGGCTTACTCAACTTTCATTTTCATCAGTTCACACAATCAAGTCCAAGCACAGTGATCCAAACTACACAAGAAAAATCTGTCTTAATTCCTCACCCTGTAACGTTGGCTCCTTTTAGCAGCAGACCAAGGACTGAGTTATATCATTGCCTTTTCTTCCCTCTTGTGGCTACTCCCTTAATAAGCCTGGATGCGTGAACTGAGAGCACCTGCCTGATGGGCAAGCCTCAGCTGCCTTCTCTCAGATATATCAGAGGGAAATTTGGAAGCACTGTATCATACTGACTGGAAATCCAGCTTCCAAGTTACTTCAGATCATAAGGCCTCTGCTGGCCTACATAATCTACTTCCTTAGGCATCCACAGCTAGGTCCATGAGGATATCCTTGCACTGCCTGCTTAATAAGAGTAGTTTATCCAATCAATTGCAGTAAGTCTCCAAGAAAGCAAATTATCCCAGCACTATCCCACAACATCAACTGCTGTGCCACATGAGCATCCAGGTGATACTACGGAAGATACCAGAACTGCAGCCTAACAGCATAAATCTGTGGCTTTTAGTAAAACAGGAGAAAAGAATTGTACTCTAAACACATTTAATTTTATTTATTTCTTAAGTGGCAAAGTCAGTTCTCTTGTTTTCCATTAGAGTATATTAGAATATATAATCAGCCCCCAGAAAGCTGCTTGAAGCTACCAGTTTGAGAAAAGCAGTGAAGAACATCATATCTAGCTGGAATGGCAGGGGAATTTTTTGAGACAAAATGCTTTGGCTGAAGCTGCATATCAGTCATGGTAGTGAGATTTATCTCATAACATATGGAATCATAGAATGGTTTGGGTTGGAAAGGACCTTAAAGATCATATAGTTCCAAACCCCCTGCCACAGGCACAGACACCTTCCACTAGACCAGGTTGCTCAATGCACCATCCAACCATCCATCCACGTTCCTGGTCTTGAACACTTCCAGGCATGGAGCATTCACAACTTTCTTGGGCAACCTGTTCCAGTGTCTCACTACTCTCACAGTAAAGAATTTCTGCTTTGTATCAAACCTGAACACCCCCTTTTTAAGTTTAAACCCACTGCCCTTGTCCTACCACTACAGTCCCTGATGAAGAGTTCTCTCCAGCATTGTTGTAGGTCACCTTCAGATACTGTAAGGCTGCTATGAGGTAATTCTCACCACTTTCCTTAAATCACAAACAGCTAGAAACAGAGCTGTGTGAAAAAATGATTTTGCAATTTGGCTGCCCAAGGAAAAAGAAAAACCACAAAGAAAAAAAGCAAACCAACAAATCAAACCATGGACCAAGCTGTATCTACCTTTGTCTGTTCTTACCAAAACTACAAGCTAAACCACCCTCTGTTTCTATCTCAAATGGAATATTTCAGGATCTCTCACTGTAACAGGAAAGCAAGGGTGAATTCCCCAAATTGGAGGTGGTAGATGTGCTCACGATACGCACCAAAAAGAAAAGTGACATGTTCAGATATATCGTGTATAATTCAGTATACTTGAAAATGGGAAGTTCAGAGGTGGCTTTCTCTCAGTCTCTCCTTTGAGCTTCTTCTGCTTGTGTCATATATATAGAACATATATATATAAATACATAAAATAAAGTAGTCAGTGGTACATGAAACGACTCCTATCATTCATAAAGTCACAGTGAATTTAGGAAAAGACCTCTGAAGGTCTTCTGGTCCACCCCATCCAACTAAAAGCAGGGCTAGCTTCAGTGTTCACCTGAGAGATTACAGGGTTTCAGCCTCTGCTCCAATAAAGTTTAAATTCTTTATACCAGTTTAAGAGAGAAGAAACTTCACTCCTTCCATACAACCTAAAGGATGGCAGCAAAAGAAGCAAGCTTCATCATTTCAAAATGATTTAAAGACGGTTCATACTAATATTTTCTCGGCAAGTTTACTAAAAAGGTTTACCCAACAGCATCCCAAAATTTGTTTTCTGGAACAGCAGAAGAAAAGCAGATTTCTAGATCATGGAACAACACATGCTCCAGAATGGTTCCTCTGGTCCTTCAACACCTCCACCTCTGGCTGCTGTCAGGCACAGGCTTTGGCAGTTTACCACTAAGCACCCTTCACAGTGTGGTAATTTCATGTTTCCTGAGCCACTTCCTCACCCAGCACATTTAGGTAGAGGCGAGCACATCAGGTAAATGTGGTGATATGCAGCAAGCCTCCAAGATTGCTATGCAGCATAGCAGGAGCTGGCACGAGAGTATGCAGAAAGGAAGCAGAAACACTCCTTCCCCACCTCTCCAAGAGGAACCCAATTTATTTGTAAATCAAAATTGTGCCAAAAAGGCCTAGGTTTGCCACGGAAAGTACTTTATTTTTAGTTTCAAAACAGATTACTTTTGATAGGCTTTGCATTCATTAGAGCATACTTGACATTTAAAATATAGAAAAAGACACAATTGTTGAGAACAGAAAAGCTTTTAAAATATGAAAGCAGTAAAATGGAAACATAGTCAGCTACAGGGCTCTGCTCAGTTCACCTGCCAATTAGGCTGTGCCTTGAAACACAGCAGCTGATGATGATGCAGTTACTCACATGCAAAAATAAAACACAAGCGGCTCACTTCCATCTGTTAATTTTCTTTGCCTCAGAAAGTCTGGTAATAAATCCCTTAACCCTTTGATTGCAGCATCTTCATGTGTTCCAGCTGAGTACTGCCACTCAATCCAATGGGAACGGGAGCGGTTAAGACTCTCTTTCAGCAGAGCCCACAGAGCTTGCTGGAAAGAGTTACTGGAAGGTGAAGTCTGACCAAAGCTGGTCAATATTTTTGCAAAGCAAAACGATGGCAAGATGTCTAGTTATTACTGCTCCAGTTCTGTCAACTGCTCAAAGCAGCAGTGCTTGCTGTGCCATTATGCAATTCGGACGATGAACCAAGACATGAAAATTCAGCGTGAAACTATCTGTTACACAAAACCAAACAGCAGGTATGAGCCCATCAAAGACACATTTTAAAGGCACATTTCCTCAGGCAGTGATCAATCTCACACTGAGAACACTTTAGATTTATGCCACCGGATTATAATTTGGAAAGTCTGATTTATCCTCACGGCTCTGCCACAGATTTTCTGTGCAGCTGCAGGCAATACCTAATATTCCCACATAGAGCCCTCACTGTACAAAACAAGGAAGAAAATTTGTCACAGCTCTCCAAATATGCCCTGTGTCAAGTGTTCAACTACAGCAGACTCAGACCTGGGTGGGAGAAGAGATGTCCATCCAAGCTACGTATCCCAAGTTCTTGCATAGACTATGAGGACCCAAGCAGTACACTGCAGTTTAGATCACAGTTCAGCTGCTCTGTTTTATGTACCTGCTTGATGACTTGTTCAAGCGCTGCCCACTTCTCTCTGCTTTGGCTTAAGTGAGAGCCAAGCAGGAGAGCCACAACACAGACACAAACAAAATGATGGGAGAGGACTTCAAGCCTGTGTACCTGTTCAGTACTTAGCCCTGTGACTTTATCATTTTGCCACACCACCTGAGGATATAAATTCCAAGTGTTAGGCATCATACAAACAGAGATTGTATCCTAAAGATCTTACAATGGAGGCCTCAATTTGGTTTGGGGCCTGAGATGCCATCATAACAATGTAATTGAGCGGAAGCTTAAGAAAGGAGTTACAGGGAGTATCCAGCAGTAAAAATAAGATACAGAAAGTGTCACTGTGCAGGAAGTATTGACAATCAAAGTTTGAACTCCATTAAGTTCTCCCTGAGATCCACACGATTATCCCTGTCCAACAGGTCTGAAAACTAAAGCAGAACACATAAAACCAGAAATGGCTCTTGAATGCATCCAAGTTCACCTGTTAATAGGAAGCTGTCATTCACAATACTCTGAAATAGGGTGCAAATAGAGGTTTTGACAGTGATAACTTGTCATGATTTAATACAGTGCTTCACCTCCGTGCTAAACACATTGCAGGTGAGCAAGAGGGGAAAAAAACATGTAAAATATTCCAATTTATACTCCCATTATAAACTCAAACCCACAACAGGAAATGCACTGAAAGGCACGCTAAGCCACATGAAAAACAAAAAGGTGGCTGGTGACAGCCAGCATGGCTTCACTAAGGGGAAATCCTGCCTGACCAATTTGATGACCTTCTATGATGGGGCTATGGCACCAATGGGTAGGGGCAGAGCAGCTGATGTTATCTACCTGGACTTGTGAAAAGCATCTGACACTGTCCCACACTCTATCCTTGTCTCTAAATTGGAGAGACATCAATTTGACGGATGGACCACTCGGTGGATAAAGAACTGGCTGGATGGCCATATGCAAAGAGTTGTGGTCAATGGCTCAGTGTCCGGCTGGAGACCAGTAACGAGTGGTGTCCCTCAGGGATCAGTGTTGGGACTGGTCCTGTTCAACATCTTTGTCGCTGACATGGACAGTGGGATTGAGTGCGCGCTCAGCAAGTTTGCCGATGACACCAAGCTGTGTGGTTTGGTTGATACACTGGAGGGAAGGAATGCCATCCAGAGGGACCCTGACACACTTGTGAGGTGGGCTGATGCCAACCTCATGAGGTTTAACCATGCCAAGTGCAAGGTCCTACACCTGGGTTGGAGCAATCACAGGCACAGCTACAGGTTGGGCAGAGAAGAGATTCAGAGCAGCCCTGCAGAGAAGGACTTAGGATGCTGGTTGATGAGAAAATGAACATGAGCTGGCTTCAGAGTGTACTCACAGCCCAGAAAGCCAACCGTATCCTGGGCTGCATCAAAAGCAGTGTGACCAGCAGGTCGAAGGAGGAGATCCTGCCCCTCTACTCTGCTCTCGTGAGACCCCACTTGGAGTATTGCGCACAGTTCTGGTGTCCTCAACAAAAAAGGACATGTAACTGTTGGAACAAGTCCAGAGGAGGGCCACGAGGATGATCAGGGGGCTGGAGCACCTCCCGTATGAAGACAGGCTGAGGAAGTTGAGGCTGTTCAGCCTGGAGAAGAGAAGGCTGCATGGAGACCTCATAGCAGCCTTCCAGTATCTGAAGGGGGGCTATAGGGATGCTGGGGAGGGACTATTCATTAGGGACTGTAGTGATAGGACAAGAGGTAATGGGTTCAATCTTAAACAGGAGAAGTGTAGATTGGATATAACAACAAAGTTCTTCAATGTGAAGGTGGTGAGGCACTGGAATGGGTTGCCCAGGGAAGTTGTGAATGCTCTATCCCTGGCACTGCTCAAGGCCAGGTTGGACAGAGCCTTGTGTGACATGGTTTAGTGTGAGGTGTCCCTGCCCATGGCAGGGGGGTTGTAACTAGATGATCTTAAGGTCCTTTCTAACCCTAACTATTCTGTGATTCTATGATCTTGCACCAGAAATGTTAAGGGTCCTGTCCACATCTTCTCTTGTTGCACCTGGAAATGGGCAGGGAGACAGCAGAGCGCAGAAATATCTTAAACTACCACAACACAATTTACTACAGGACATTTGTTAATGCCTCAAGAGGTAAGTGCAACTTGCCATAACAAAAATCTATGGATTTTAATTGCTTTAACATGTTTTCTGTATGGGATTGCCGCTATTAGTACTTGCCTGTAGCTGTGCAAAGCACAGAGGTTCCTTCTGCTAGATGCAGAGTCGCATTTAGTGTACAAATACCCAAGCTCTACACCAGCCACTAGCGAAAGGGCTTCTGCCTGCTCTAGAAAATCAGGTTGTCTCTTGTGGAACAGAACATCTGAGCACAGATAACACTTGAACAGATGTGTTTGACAGGACAGCAGGTCCCCTGTATTTGAAGCACACAAAAGCAGACAGATTTTAAAGCATCAGCTCTTCTGAGGCAGTGGCTATTCAGACAGTATGGAAGGATCACTGTTTACTATCTTATTCTTAGTAGCTGATTTCTCCCATTACTTCTTCTTGGACTGATAGAGAACTCTGATTTTATTTACTTTCTCAGGGAGCACTCATGGTGCCACTAACATTCTGCTGGCCTTGTCTGTAAAAAAATACTCAAGCAGCTCCACAGGCTTAACTATCACCTTTTAATTTCATGTCATTAAATACTTAAGTTACCCAAAAGCAAATACAAAGCATTAGTTGTCAGGACCTTAGTTCTCCCTGCATTGTACTTTCCAAAAAATAAACTTGAGGCATAGTCATTACACAGGTCTTAAGATCAGTTGTCTGTTGACCACTATAGGCCATGGAAGCAGGCCATCCTGTGAGCAAATTTAGTATTTAGCACTTGGAATGAACAGTTCCTCAACAAAACGCTAACAGTTGTAATTTCCTGAGATGAAGGAAAAGATAAAAGGGTGAATAAACACTGAAGAGACTTTGAAAGTAGCTAAGGACTGAAATGGAACCACCTTGACCTGAGAAGACAGTGGGAAAGCAAATGCCAAAGATATGCACTGGGATGTGGGCTTTTTCCCAGATGTTAAAGAATTAACCTCTTTAATACTGGTTCTGCCTTCATGGCATATGCGATCTCCAGACAGTAAATATCAGGACAGTTCTTTGGCAAGAACAATTTGAGAAATTAGAAAGCACCGGTTTGGCAAAATAATTTAAAATTTAGTGAATTGCCCCCCTTTGACCACATCCCTTAAGCTAATATTATCACATCCCCTCCCACACCCAGTGCCATTATGTCAGCCATAGTGAGGCAGGAGGCAGAAGTTCAGCCAGAGACCACAGCAACTTCAGAGACTTCTTTCTCCATCTGTATAGCACAGCTAAAGAACACAGCTCACACTGCCACAAACGTAGACACAAATGTCCCTTCCTGAAGTCCTGGTGAGGTCCTTTACTCAGCCACCCAATCACAACTGCAGATGCTCAGGACTTCCAGCTCTAATGGAAGGAATTAGTATCATTCAACAATTTCTGCTGCAAAACATCTATTGTTATTACTGCAACTACTTTGTTTTTGAGGAGAGAGAAAGAGTGATAACTGTATCTGTTCATGACAAATTCCTCTTCTCCAGCCTTCAGAAATTCTCCTGGAGTTACCCACATCACAAGTAATGAGGAGGGGAAGCAATTAGTGAAAAACTTTTTTTTGCAAGGTGTATCAAAATGTGTCTTCATTAGTAGTCCATGACCAACAACCCCTCATAGTGTATTTAGGTTTTTAGGGTCTGGCTACAAATCAGAATTATAGTGCTGAAAAGTTGACATTTAAGGAAGGAACAACTGGCCCTCCTGAATACATAACAACAATACAAAGCACATGCCTGCATGAAGAACAGGTTGCTGCTATTTGTACAACTATGACTGAGAAATATTCTCCCTTAAAATCTTCCAAAAGGTCAACACTGCTTCAGAAAATCGTTATTTTTTGATAAAATAACAGATCATGGAGATAAACTCTTTAAAAGATCTGAAGGGAGAATCACTAAATGGTGACTAGTCAGGTTTGGTTTCGAAACAAACCCAAGTAAGATACTTCAATCAAAAGATATTGACTACATTTTGGTTACAGAAGCAAGTTATGGTCTAAGGCTGTGTATTTCTGTGGTGACTCCTAGCAAGAAAAAGGAACAGGAGTTCTACAGGAATTAAAACATGTACCTTAAAATTATTAATGACTGAAATGATGATTAAAGAGGCCTGGCTCCAGAGAACAGGTGTACAACAATTACTGGAGAAAAATCAGGCCAATTCATGGCCTGTAAGTTTGGAATTCAGATCCTCTCCTCATCCACACTTCCCCACAAACTCACCCCAAATAATCAACTGGCTTAAAAATTCTTGGTTTCATGGGGTATAAATAAATACAAAAATTGTCTTTTGAGCTCTAGTTCACCTTGAAAATGTTTTGTTTTAAATCACACTGGCCATATAACACCTTTTCTAGTCTACCATCCAGCACAGAGAGTACCAGAAATTTCTGAAATTAACCTTCTGCAAAGTTTAAATTCTCACTTACTCAACCGTTTTTTTAGTTAATAAATAGATTTTTCATGCAAGAAGCTTTTATTTTTAGCCACTCGAGAACCTACTAAGTGATTGTGACTCTCAAATGCACTCAAGCTAACAGAAGTTGCTGCATTCTAATTCCCAACTATAAAATAAAAGAAGGGGGCTGGAAGCCTTCAGGCTTGGTAAGAAACAATGGAATTAGGACAGACTTCACATGATGCCATCACCAAGATGCACCTGGAATATCAAGAGAATAAAATGCTAGAGGGGGAAAATAAGCAATAATAAAGTTTAATCTTCAGTCGCATCTGATGTGGCTGTGATCAGCACCAGTAAATCTATTTTAACGAAAAAACCACTCAAACCATTCTCATTTGCTTTTCCAGCTTGTTCACCATTTCAGATCAACCACCCACTACAAAGACGGATTCTTCACTAACAGTTCTGAACATCAACTATGAGAGAAATTCCTTAAAGAGCCATTCAGAGGAACAATATCAGACTACATTACTTTAAATATTTTTTTCTTTTCTAGGAAAATCTTCTCTTTATTAATATGCTGGACAGCATACTTATTTCCCAGCTACAAGTTCTGCGTGTTTATAAAACACTTTGTTCACTTTTGTGGACGCTTCTGAAACAGAACTGCTATTCCTTACTAAAAATAATAAGATTGCATAGAGAAAACACAAAAGAGCTAAAAATTATTTAATTGTTAAGGCGCTTAATCTTCAGAAAAACAGGTTACAGTTAAGGATTTTGCTTGGGTTATAATCCTATAATATATTTTGATGATAATCCTTGATTCAAAATAAGTAAAAAAACCTAAAACAAACTTATGAAGTTAGCAGTGTATTTTAATCACAGGCTTGATTAACTGATTTTTAAAATATGCCCATTTAATTTCAGGAATTTTCTGAGGAATATTCTGTTAAGGACAATGACTAGGTTTCTGATGATGAAAATGCATCTTATGAAAAAATCAGAAGCAGTGAAACAACTCTTATCAAAGTTATGTCAATTTATACCTGTTTAAGCTCTTTTGCTTCTTCCTGGGAGATCTTCTCTTGCTTTTGCAGCTGGACGTGGTCACTGTCCATCCCTTCTCTGCCTCCTGCTGGAGAGCTGGGCTGCACCACTCCTCCCAGGAGTCCCGTGGCTGCAAAAGAAATTCCCATGGTCAGACTGCCATTTCCTGTACCAATGGGGAGAACCAGCACTAGTATCAAATTGGATGATCCCTGCTTTTTTCTCTCTCCCCACAATCCTCCCTCCCCTTCCTCTGCCTGGTGAAGGCTCCAGGGAGACCTTAGAGTAGCTTCCAGTGCATAAAGGGGCTGACAAGAGCAAGTAGGGACAGGACAAGGGGAATGGCTTTAAACTGACAGAGGAGAGATATAAATGAGATCTTAGAAAGGAGTTCCTGTGAGGGTGGTGAGGCCCTGGCACAAGCTGTTGCAAGAAGCTGTGGCTGCCCCATCCCTGGCAGTGTTCAAGGCCAGGCTGTACAGGGCTTGGAGCAACCTGGTCTAGTGGAAGGTGCCCCTGCCCATGGCAGGGGGGTAGAAATGGATGATCTTTAAGATACCTTCCAACCCAAACCATTCTGGGATTCTATGCTTTTCTCCACAGCAGTTTGCAAGAGGACTTTTCTTCTAGGAAAGATCTGAGCTGTATTCTGTACAATACCTAATCTGGAGGTGACCAGGCTGCCGAGAGATGACTTCTTATTAAAGGCAGCATCCAGAGAATGGGTTCATTTTGAGCTCTGGGGATACATCTGAACTGAGTGCAAAGCAGCAGCAACACACTCCCAATCAGATAAACGAGGATTCTCCACCTGCTGTTTCTTCTCTCTTTAATCTTTTTAATTAAAGAATTTGGAAGCGACGGATTTGGGACAGAGTCAAGTCAGCAAACCCCTGAAACAGAAGGGCAACACTGACGCTAACAGCCACCCCCAGCTAAGTAGGGTGGATGCAATCCCTCATGTAACATGCTACCTGTCCTTTATTTTTAAAGCATCGGCTCTTATTGCAGTATCTGATACTACACAGTAGGGTAGCAGGGATATGCAGCAAGGCAAGGTTGTTATTTCTGATTCAGATGGGTGTTAAACACCCGAGATACACATCTTGGCTCCTAGAGGTGCTTCAAGGGTCATTGAAGCTCTTCCACTTAAAGAGGCACCATAAAGGAAGCTAATTCTACTGCTGCCACCTGTGAGCACACGGCCTGACCCATCACAGGATGACGACAAAAACTCATATGTACATCAGGACAGAAAGTGTGCCAGATGCCAGAGCTCATTGCCAGGTCAAGGAGCTGGTGCCCAGCTGACAAGGTATACCCAACTGCCCTAGACACCATTACCTCTCCATGAAAAGGAAGACAAAAGCTAAACCAAAAGTACCAAATCTTAAATCCCTCTCAAGGAATTACTGCAAACTCACAATCCCTGGAATTATTCAGTTATCAGCCTGAGAGTCACTGGACTCAGACATCATCAAGATTTAAGACAAGCAAGTAATTCACTGTACTAGTGTTACCCTGTGCAAATGCTCCTTGTAATCAAATGGTCCAAGCGCAAGCCACAGAAAAATGCTGCCTGTGGTAAATCACTGCCATGATCTCCCTCAGAGGACAAAGTGGGGAGGGAATGACAGTCCTTCCTATGGCAGCAAATAGCCAGAGGAGATTCTTTGTGTTTCTTATCAGCTGACTGTCACCATATACTAATTATTTCATTAAAACCAAGAAATCTATCCATTTCACTCCATTAATCTTACTGAGGAAAAGAACAGAAGCAGGATGTGACAAAGCTGAACAAAAACAATGGATGAAGAAGAAGATCTGGCATTTCCCAGAATTGAATAGAAAGGCAGAAACATTTAAAAAGCAATTTTGTTTTGTGTCACACCAAGTTGGACTGTGGGACTCGCTGCCATCATGTGAGGATGAGAAGGTACAAAAGCACTGAACAAAGTGCTGGAAACTCAATAATGAGAACATTCGGTCACAGGGGTAGACAGGAAATATTCAGCAGCCTCAAAAAAGATAAACAGCAAATACCAGTCTTCAGCTATAGGACTGAGACAGCATTGCCCTAGATTGCTATATTGCACAGGCACTGTAGGATTTCTTGCACTTTTTAATGCTTGGTAGCTGTTATCAGCCACTGTTGAGGATGTTACTGGCTAGGAGAGTACTGTCTTAATACAGCACAGAATCGCCTCTGTTACAAACAAACCTCACTGCTCTGTCCTAAGCATTTTAATACCTGTGTGGCTTGGTCTAAGAATATATAGTCAGAAAAAAACATGCAAAGCAGCTAAAAATACTTCCAGATAATCTGGTGTGTATAAAAGTCTTCACAAATTCCTCTTCTAGGTGGCATGAAGCCAAAACTCTTAGGAAAGATGAGGGTTTTTTTGTATTTACTTATATAAACATGCAATATGCACAACTTTAAGGCAGGACTAGTATAAGCAGACAGGATCCAGATGAGATTATGACAGTGGTGGACATGTTCACATCTCACCATTGAGGGCACAGAACGCTATGAGCCAGTTCACAGAGACAGATGTACCTCCACTGCAAGGATATTTCTTCTCTAAGTCTCTGAATCAACATTCACAATCTGAAAATTGACACATATCTTACGTGTGCAGAGACAGTGATGCATAACACACACTTTTTTTGCCTGCTTTTAGGGGAGGGAAAAAAAAAAAAAAAAAAAAAAAAAAAAAAAAAAAATCAGTATTTCCACCATGTGAACAACCACGGAAAAACCACCGAGGTTAAAGCACAGTCCGTGACTGCCATCTTGCGACAGAAGACAAACAGTGCTAGACCCCGGGGAAGGAACAAACAAGGGTTTTGGTGGAGCTGGAGAAGTCAAGATTTCCATAACCTCCAGTTTTCTTTACTGACATTTCCAAATTAAACAGTCGAAATGCAGGTGGGGGTAGGAGAGCAATATCCTTGACTCACTGACTCAGATGCAAACAGAGCAGAGCAGTGGGAAATTAAGCACACGAGGGCTGTATAACCAATTATTTTATGTAACCAGCCTTAAGACCATCAGGAACTGAACACCAATTTGCTGGAATAACTCAGTGCTTAAGAAACCAGCAGGTTGTTTTTCCTCTAAGTTGTTGTGCTGACATTTTAGTGCCAGATGCCCAAGACTTACTTCCTTAAAAATTAACAAGCTTTTCCAAGCCATGGCCCTCGATGACTCTTCAACAAGAGGACATTATCCTCCCTGCTGAACTCCAGTTTTAGCTCAGTGCACGGAAATGGGTTCAACTATTGCTTTACTGTATAATTTTTCTACTTGTTTTTAACGTACTGGCAATAAATCCATCCACCAATTTGCTCTCACATCACTAATGATTAAGAAAAAAAGGAGGATTCAGACATTTTGATAGAATTAAATTCCTAACAGACAAGAATTCAACAGCTCCCCGAATGAATCCAGGGTTGGATTACAAAAAAAAAAATAAAAAAATAAAACAAGACAAAAAACAATCCTCCCCAGAATTTTAACAGACATAACAGTAGTAAGTAAAGTCATTCTTATTACTGTGAAAGGGTTTCAATCTCCACTTTGTTTTCTTTCACCTATGTATTAACCTAACCTGAGACCTAAAATCTAAATCCAAACACCTGAACTTCTCAAATAATAAAATTCTAGTTTTTAAGATATGAAAATTAATGTGATGTTTACTCCAGATGTTATTTTAAAAAAACCTGCTGGACTGGAAATACATTTTAAATTTTCTACAATTAACTGAATGACAGATTTAATATATTTTCAGCTACAAACTTACAAAGCAAAAACAACAGCAGAGGACTGTGAAGCATGCAACCAGGAAAACTAATTTCTAATGACTTCCCCACAGAGTGGCACAAAAGTGAATTGGTGACCACTGGAAAAAGAATGACACTGTAGTTAAAACACAGGCCAGTAGTTGAAACTCAAAGTTAATCCTTTCACAAAGTGGTGTGGAGTTAGTGTCAATACCAGCTGAGAGCACAATGTTAAAGAGGGCTTGGTGCAATTCAGCTGCTAGGCTCCTGAGGGACACTCAGCTTCAGCATCTGCAGTCACAGGTTCTGCTAATGTAGCTGTGAGAAAGAAAATCCAACCAGACTAAAGCAGGGCCACACAGTTCTGTCATTTCTGCCCTCCCCCTCTTGCCAATAGGGTCTAAGGTCCCCTATCAGTTATTTCTTGCATCATCAATGTTGTCTCACACTGGGGAAAAGGGAAGAAAATTTGCCTTGTAACTATTAACACTTTTGAGTTTGAAAACCACCTAGAAATTTCTGGTGCTACTGTTACCCTTACAGATGGATTGCTTTGTCACATACCTGCTTGCCAAATGGAGGTCCCCAAATCTACCTGAGGGGACATCCTGGCACCAGCAAAACCTAGGGCATCTTCTAGAAACTGTATCTTCTTGCTAAATTGCATCTCCAAGATAGGGATTACTTCTGGCATCTTTGCTGACAAGAGCCGATAAGAGGTGTCTGGCTTCCCAATAAATCTCTGACGGACACTGATTTCATATGGTGTATGAACTCTGATATCATCTACATCCTTTGATTCAAAACGGTGAATGACCTGAGAGTTGCAGTCACTGATTTCCAGACCAGAAGCAAAGAGTGTGAGTTTTCCTGGCTTGACATTTGAGTCTGTTCTGTGGGTGATAATAACTGGAATTCTAATTATGATTCCTTCCTGGTTCTTCGAATCGGAAACTGTGGCAGTTTCCTTTGGCTTGGCTTCCAGTGGTGCTTTCCAGAGCTTGCTGCTGAACGGCCACCAAGAAGGAGATTCGAGCTCAGTCAACAACCTAGCAGAGAAAAGAGAGTGTTAGCAGAGTCAAAGCTAGTAGAGAGGTCGTGCTACCCCTCCAGTTCAAAGCAAATTACAACAGACAAAGATTTCTTAATACTGAATCCAGCCCTCTTATTTTGTTCCTCAAACCTATTCACAACTTACCAGGATCCATCTGTTTTAAAAAGCAGCTTTCCTTCATTTGCTAACACACTGGAAAGAGGACCCAGAGTCTCACTGGTCTGACACACGAAATCCAACTTTTAACTAGACTTAATCAAGCCAGTTCTTCAGCTGTTCTTCAGCTAATACTGCCATTTACCTCAATATTTCCACACATGGCCATCTGCACCACTGCCGCCTTCTGCTCCTTTATTCCATAGCCCTAGTCTGATGCCACCTTTTGCTTTGCCTCCACTCCCAAATTCCCATTAAAACACTAAGAGTGCAATGTTGAGGCTGAAAAGCCCAGCAGAGACTGCCACAGGCATCCAGAGCGCCTCACCATCAGCGTTGGTGTAGCTCCTGAAGGACACAGGCCTCCTTGCTGGAGGTGCCTTAGCATAAAGGTAACCAGACTGACTTTATGGAACAATTAAGCAACTGCTCCCCAGAAAGACCAGTGTATAGCCAGAAATAACGAAAGAGTCAAGCCCCTTATTCCTAAGCAAGAACATGCACCTAAGCAGGCACCCAAGTTTACCAGCTACAAGCAAGAAAGATGTAACACTGTTAGGAAGAATCAATGACATAGAAAACACAATCTTCCTGTTATATTTTTTTAGCAGCATAGCCCATTCCCCTTTTCCCCTTTTCTGAATCCTCTCCCAAGAAAGGATCATGCTTGCAGATCTTTGGGTCTAAGCCTGACCACTACTCTTTTTACAAAAAAAAAAAAAAGGAAAGGGAAGGTTTTGGTTTGATTTTTCACGTGATGTGCTCCTGTCTGTTATTATCCCTCTCCTCGTCTAGACAGGAGTTGGTGGCAGAGCCACAGTCAGCACCAATGATGCTCCATTTCTCCCACTTTCCTCTCATCCCCTGCCTGTATCACCCAAGCCCATCCTGCTAGCAGAGGACTGTGTATTTCAAGATGACTCCACTTTAGTGGCTGGAAAGAAATTTTGGGACTGACAACATCTCCACACACAGCTAACACAAACTTCATATCCCCCTTTCCCTCCTGCAGTGCAAACAGTCACCTCCTCTCACCCACCAGCAGCCTCTGACACGCACGTCACATCTGAGCCAAAGTGACTCATCTCCAGTCCCAGGCATAGGAAGAGGCAAATCAACCCTCTGGGAATCACTGACTGCCCAAACCCTACCCTGCTCCCACTGAAAAACAGCAGTGAGCTGGCTGGAAGCATTCTACAAACCAAACTAGCCTGCAGACAATTAGCCTGATCAGGATGTTTTAAACAGAGATTTTTCAGTCCACTCCTCAGCCACTGAGCAGGACAGGAAAGCAGTCTCTGGAGGCACAAATGAATTCCCAATTAACTAATGGGAAGGAAGAGGTTATGTTTAAATCAACCAAAAAAAAAAAAAATTAGCTGTAAGGAAGTTCAATCCAGATCAGAATTGTGTGGTCCCCCATCTCCATCAATACCTTAAAGACTATCCAGTCATCAGGTATGCGTCACTGGCACAGTAGTTGTAGTAGATGCTTCTAAGAAGCCAGCCTACACGTAATAAAATCTTTCATGAAAAAAATGCAATCTTACTACAAAAGACTATTTACTAACTTAAATTCTAGAGATGCAAGGCTTATGAGACCAAACCCCAAACTACTACTGCTTTACTGCTATTTTGGAAAGTCAGCTTGATTTAATTTACTTTTAAGTTTATTCTAGAAAGGTACTCCCTGATCAAATATGCATCACAACAGTGCTGCTCTAAAGATCTTTTGTAGTGATTTATTTTCCATGAGAATCAGAGTGTGCCTACACACAGAAGACTCTGCAATTTTAAAATCCTGTTTAATTTGGCGGCAAAGTCTAATCTGAAAGAGGAAGCTCCGACTGAACATGCTTTGTTTACTAGCCATCAAAACTCTGCACTGGCTTCAAAACACACCAACTTAAATAAACTCATCTTTTAGGAAAAGCAGAAAATGTCATATTGGGAGTCAACCAACTGAATTCTTGAATAGAACAGGCAGAATGAACTGTTCCAAGAATCTACTCCCAGCTAAAGCATGAATACCAGATACTTCTGTAGATAGAATGCAACATGAGTATCAGTTCTGGAGCTCACCACTGCTCTCTGGAAATGCTGTGACACTCCTTAAAAAAATGGGAGAGGAGTAGGGAAGGCAGACCAAAGGATATGTACAAAGTTCTACATAACAGAATTTGAAATGGCATAGTATCATGGATTTAGGGATGAATTCTGAAACTATGAGGTTCAACTTACATTCTACACAGAGAATGACTGAAAAAGCCCCAGGCTCTACTAGCACACATCTTCCAAATTCAAAGCTATGCTGTAACCTACCTGCTGTAACTAAGCAGAGACAAACAACCTCATCTCCTTTCTACAGAACACAAAACACTTTTTCTGTCCTCTTAAGTGTAGAAAGAGTTACAAAGTTATTTCAGGGCAATGACAGCTTATGCCTATGTCACTTCAACACATTCAGTGTGTTCAGGGACTTTCTGAAAAGCACCTGCAACGTGACAAGCCTAAACCTCTGTTTACATTGTGGCAACTTATTCTGGATAGCTTTGAACCCTAATTTTTATCACTTCATCCCTTCACTCTCCTGCCTCCTCTCTTCTTTCCCCAGGGCTGACATCCCAGCTGTGCAATGTCTGATTTATAGTCAAGGCTTTTCTGCTGCACAGCCCTAACAAAGGTTCCAGCCAACTTCTCCAGCCTATGGAGGAGTCACCCCTCTGTATCAACAAACTATATGACCGGTCCATATACACAAATGAAAATTTGCAACCGAAGTACCTTGTCATCTAATAGCAATACATTAAAAAGGAAACAGTGAATCTGGGTTTCTGTTTATTTTTGGTCTTTGAACATCTGCTAGAACGTCACACTCTGCTCTGCCTATCTGAACACAGGTCCACTGACAGCAGCTGTACATACCCATGCATACACAAGAACAGAATTAATAATCCAAAAAAGCCTACACATACAGGCAAGATAAAACTAATCAAAGTTTTAAACATACGAAAGGAGATAAAGGGGCCTGGTTCTTTTTATGATAGACAATACCATCAAACTGGCGCTGTTGAAAAAGCAGACACAGAAATTTGTTACCAAAGTTTCCTTCTGCACAGAATCTGCTACACAATAGTCCTGCATGGTATTATCCATGCAGTTACTTCTCATCAAGCTTCTAAGGAAAACAGTAGTCAAAGAGCCTTACAAATATGAGGCCATTTATGTTAATAGTCTGAATTCATGGTCTTCCCCATTTCCTACACTGGTTAAGGACATGAAGAGAAATGTCATCAGTTTAAGAGAAAACTTTTGGGTGAGAAGCATCTTCATGAGAAAAACAACACACAAACTACACTAGAAAACTGTGTTAGAAAAGCACAGGGTGATTAATACCATTTCGCTAATGGATTTTGGGATACATTTTATCCTGCAAGCTGGCCAAACTCTTTGTTTGTACTACAGATAAAACAGCTGACATTTGGTCAATGCCTTCCTTTATTTTTCCATTTTTAAATCAAAGCATCTAGTTCTTCAGATTCATGAGGACAGATAATACCTCCCAGTGCATCTTAACCCAAAACAAAACTCTCTTCCAAAAACAATGAGCAGGTATTTATTTTCCTACTCATTATTTATTGCTACGGAACTTTAAAAGCTATTGCTGAAGCTTTCAATTATCTTGGCTTTTCATTAAAGGGTATGCAGAGTATCAGCAGAACCATTGTGAAATCAACGCTTTCTTTTAGACATGGTATCTGTCTAAAAACAGATGCTTCTTCCAAAAACAACTGGTTTGAACTATACTGTGTTTGTTATTTCATGCAACTGTCAGAGCTTCTACAAAAGCACTCATAGCTATATATTACAACACTACTGTCTACCTTACTGTCTCTTTTGGACTGCTATCAAATCAAACCTGCAGCATACAAAATAACACAGAATAATGATTAGCATTCAAAGTGAATTAAAGCCATAATATTCTGATCAAGACACCAACCATTTACTATGCACACTGCGTTCTGCAAAACGTAGTTAAGCAACCTCAAATGTGCTCCAAATTCCTTACTTCAGTTGTCTAAAGGCAGCACTTGGGTGTCTAATGAGTACACTGGCTTAAGTGCTCAACTGATATTACTACAAATAGTCTGGTACTGTCTCTCCAGTTCTTGCACCACCCCACTCTGCAGACAAAGCACTTTGGAGAAGCTCACACCGCTCATTTTTTTTTCCTCAAAACGTTTATTCCACCTATACCTAAAGGCAGACAGTATTCCATGTAAGGTTCAAAGTAGTACAGTTTTAAATCACAAATGAGGGAGCACTGTTTCTATAGCTATTTCCTTGACTACATCTACACCAGACCCAATACTCGCTGCTAGGTGTAGCTGGGAAATAAGCTCTTGTGAAGGAAAGGACAAATATAAAGCCCTCAACTAGCCAATGCACGCAAAAAGCAGCTTCAAGGGCTGACTTTCATGCATGGAGAAAGGAGTACAATCCACCTAAAGATTAACTGGCAGCTGTCTCCCAATAACTCTAGGAAATTGCCTCCAAGTCAGCAGCCCACCTGCTATCTTCAAAATTTCCTTTGAGAAGAACTAGAAAAGCAGACCTGTGGTTATGTTTGCTGTGGAACAGCAAAACAGGCTGCTCCACAAAATTAACCAAAGCCAGTATTTTTCATTTATACATATTCAAAGACATCTAATAAAAATGTCAATGCTATACCTTATCCTTCTGTGGGAACATGAATTGTCACCTACTTCCCTTAACGTTGCCTATTCTCTCAGAACTTACACATTGTTCATATTTTGGAGATCCCTACAATTTCTGCTAGTCGTGGATGAAACTTGAAGGGCTTGAAAAGTTATTTGAAAGAAAGGACAGGTATATATGTATAAAGAACTTCACCAAGGTGAAAAAAACGTTACACAGAAGGGAGGACAGAAATACAGACACATCTTGTAACAAGAACTAGATCCACAACAGACCACTGCAAGCTTAAACTTTCAGGGAAAATCAACAGTTTATCCCAGTATAAGGAGATGGACCCGTTTGAGTGAGTCCAGAGGCCATGGCGATAATCAGAGGGCTGAGGCACCTCTCCTATGGAGACAGGCTGAGAGAGGTGGGCTTGTTCAGCCTGGAGAAGAGAAGGCTCCAGGAGACCTTGGAGCAGCTTCCAATGCCTAAAGGGGCTGACAGGAAAGCTGGAGAGGGGCTTTTGGCAAGGGCAGGCAGGGACAGGACAAGGGGAAATGGTTTTACACTGAAAGAGGGAAGATTTAGATGAGATCTGAGGAAGAAGTTTTTCCCTGTGACGGTGGTGAGACACTGGCACAGGTTGCCCAGAGAAGCTGTGGCTGCCCCATCCCTGGCAGTGTTCAAGGCCAGGCTGGACAGGGCTTTGACCAACCTGCTCTAGTGGAAGGTGTCCTTGCTCATGGCAGGGGGTTGGAGCTAAATAGCTTTAAGTTCTCTTCCAACCCAAACCATCCTGTAATTCCGAAGACCTCCATGGATCTGCCCCATAAAATTTAGGCATAAGCAATGCAATCCCACAAGCACTGCTTAGCTCAGAGGATGCTCCATTACCATACCTGTCTGCTACATCCATATCCCCTTCGATCTTGTTGAGTCCTCTCATGATGCTATCAAACTGCTCGCCCTGATAATGCAGCACTTTTGCTGTGTCCTCCAGCCGTTTCTGTGAACCACTCAATAATCCTGTCAGTTCTTTTCCCTTTGTTGTTTGCAAAGCTGCTGCTTCCGCTCCTTGGCTTGACAGCAATTGCTCCCTCCAAAAGTGCTCAAGGATGTTGAATACCACATTTCTGTTGGGCTGCAGAGAACTAAACCAGTGCTTGGTGTTCTTCTCTAAGATGGTAAGTGAGCTGAAGATTAAATTTGTTGATTCCTTCTTGATCTCACTGATACTAGAAAGATGGAAGTTGACCAAAAGCTCCCCAGTCTTGCCAGCTGTGAATGTGATTGCAACAGGAGTCAGTGAGAGTCTGCCAGAGACCCATTGTTTGCTGGTGTCTAAGTAGTAAGAACAAGGCCAGCTATGGATACGTATGTCTTCGTTCATCAGCTCGCCGTTCAGATCCCCTTCAAGAGCAACACTCTCAAAGTCAGAAGGAGAAACTAGCATAAAAGAGAGAGGAAATAAAGCAAGAATCCTTAGCTACTTATAAAAACTGACATTAAAACACACTCATAAATAATTAATCCCACCCAGAGCTGGTTTCCAGCACTTGCCTGGTAACCTTTCAGGTACATACCTGATAGATTTGGAAATAGCTGTGGATGAGTTACAAAATTTGGTAACCATTTCTAACCATCAGAGTATTTAATTCATAAAGGCTCAGGACTTTCTAACCAGGACTGTCAATATTACTGCCCACTCCATAACAGCACTGCCCCTCTGTTTTATAACGTTCTCATCATGTATCAGGACATGACTTACAACAGCACAAACTTCAAATGACTGCTGCAGTAATGTTCTGGATATTTAATAAGCATTGTGCTGTCTTGATCAGGGGAGATGCTTTATAATTTGATTAGTCTTACATGTTCACAGGCATATGTCCATATTTTGGGGCGGACAGGAACCTACTAAAACCAGAATTCTGAAAAAGTTTTCTGAGTCTTTCACATATGAAGTTTTCCTGAAAATTGACCATGTAAAAATTTTTCCATTCCCTACCGCAACATCAGGAGCAGCTTCCCATAGACAAATAGGTACTGAAGAAAATCCAGAACGTACCAAAATGTAAGTTCATTGATACATATCTACAGCAATCACAAGAAATAACTGTTCCTTCCCCTTCCATGCTGATATTTCAACATCGAGGTTTGTTAAGAAGACACTCAGAATGTCTATCCAACACATCAAACAGTGCAGGTGAAAACAGAAACACCACTGACCAGAACTCACAACCATTAAAGAACAGAAACACCCAGCCACAAATGGATATTCTTCAAACATTGTCACTACCTCAGACCATCACTCTTGGTCTCAGGAGAAACCTAACAATCTACCTTACAAAACTCAAATGGATATTAGAACTTCTGGTAGAATAACACAGGCAAAATAAACACCTCAAATCTGTCGTATTTGTTCTGTAAAATATTCATTGCTGCTTAGTTACTATTAAAGATGTTTGGAAACAGGAGTTTGGGAAGAATTGTAAACAGCTTATCAGCACTGCTGGGAAAACCCTGACTGACCCAAGTGGCAGTTAAGACAAGAAAAACATCAGCTGTATTTATCGGAGGAGGTGCTGCTGGCCTGCTATGCAGAGCAACTCCATACGGGTGATAGTGGCGCAAGCAGAACTGACTGTTCACTTAGTGTGAAGGAACACGGTGTTCAGGGAACTAGTGATTTCATTGCACCTCTGTGACAGGCTGTGTTCTCCTGGGAGAACGTGATGCTATCTGATGACATAATATTAATCCTGTAATACTTGCTCATTGGTATCTGCAATCCCAACAAGAAAACAAAACAGCTGTCATATGCCTCAGGCCTGGTTTGCTCACATCAAAACCATCTCAAATTTGGAATAGTATACCCAATGAAACATGTCAGGAGTAGCATCTCCTCACAAACCCAAAGAGTGTCCTCATACCCATGGGTCAGATTGTTTCCTGTAACTTATCCTTCATGCTGCTACCATTTTCAGTATGAACACCAAAACCCAATTATGCTCCACAACTACTTTGTGAACACCCATTATGTAATGGCAATTACACATATTTTCATTATCTTCTCAAAACCTTTCATGTTTGATGGCACAATTTACAAATTAGTACCATCACGTTATCTCAAGATGTTCTCCTACTTGTGGGGTAAAATAAATAAGTTAGACCTCCACTACAAAGTCCCCAGTTCAGTTGACACTGACAATAATTACATCTTTTGACTTCAGTACAATCTGTTCTCTTTACAGAAATGTCTAGGAATCCTCACACAAATATAAAGTTAATAGACCTTTTCCAGGTAGTGCTGGTGTGAATTCCGGTAATACACACTAAAGATGTCCTAGTGCTTTCAGGCTGCTGCATCAGTAATATCCCTTAAATTACAGGATCATAGAATGGGTTGGAAGAGACCTTAAAAATCATCTAGAGCCTCACCCTATCCTCTACCTGCCCTCCCCACCCCCCCAATCCCCCCCTTCCCCCCAGGCAGGGACACCTCCCACTAGAGCAGGTTTCTCAAAGCCCCATCCAACCTGGCCTTGAACACTGCCAGGGATGGGGCAGCCACAGCTTCCTGGGACAACCTGTGCCAGTGTCTCACCACCCTCACAGGGAAGAACTTCTTCCTCACATCTCATCTCAATCTCCCCTCTGTCAGTTTAAAAGCCATTCCCCCTTGTCCTGTCCCTACCTGCCCTTGCCAAAAGCCCCTCTCCAGCTTTCCTGTCAGCCCCTTTAGGCATTGGAAGCTGCTCTAAGGTCTCTCCGGAGCCTTCTCTTCTTCAGGCTGAACAAGCCCATCTCTCTCAACCCATTTCCATAAGAAAGGTCCCTCAGCCCTCTGATTACCTTTGTGGTGTCCTCTGGACTTCCTCCAACAGCTTCCCATCCTTCTTATGTTGGGGCCCCAGAGCAGGACACAGGACTGCAAGATGTGTGGCAAGGGCGTTTCATGAGAGCACAGTAAGGGGAAGAATCCCCTCCCTCTACCTGTTAGTCACACTGGTGGTGAGGCCAGGCATTTAGAGGACTTTGCTTCGGAGTTCAGTTTCAATGCCTTTATTAAATATATTAAAACTTCTGTATTCCTGAAATAATGACTCCTCATAGATTGCCATATTCCACAAAAAAAATATATTTCTGTACTATGGTTTTGTGCCTTATTTTGTGTCATTATGAATTTTAGTGATGAAAATCAGAAAAAAAAAAAAAAACAAACAAAAAAAAAAAAGACCACCAAAGCCCACCATGCCATAAGTTTACCAATAAGCTAGACTTCAAAGTGAAAACTCTCATTCTCTTTGGGCCTAATGAAACCACAGTGATAGAGAGACAACTTCACACTGTACTTTGGGCCAAAGAGAGAGGAGAAAAGCCCACAGAAGTCTGATTTCTATGAGTAGCTATAGCTAACAAAACAGTGACAAGTTCTAGGAAATATTACTGCTTTATTGACTTTTCCTACATAATTTCTATAATTTGGAGAGAAAGCTAAAAGCTCTGGCCTTGATTTCTCCATCTAGAAAAAGAAGGTAGTTCCTTGAATACAACAAAGTTAGATCAGACAGATTAATTTTTTTTTTTTCCCCTGGAGGTTTACTGGGTTTTGCGTGTAGGCAATTATTATAATTTTTAGTTAAAGGTTATTTTCTTTCTGTCATACAAAAAGAAATAGCAAAAAGCAGTCCTAAAAAATCAGTGAGATCGTCCAGGGGGATTCCACAACAGCCATCAGCAGAACAGCGGTTTTCAGAGGACACTTTAAGTGGAAAATGTTTCTAATAGGGATACACAGTTGAATGCTAATAATGTAACTTTTTGTTACTGTAACTGACAACTATGTCAAGTTAAACAACAAAGTGTTCTTACATTACAACAATGTAAATTCCATTAGCGCTGAAATCAATGACAGTCGAAATTAAATCATGTTTTAGCTTTATTATTCAGGACTGACAAATTTCAAATCCAAATTAAGCGTAACTGTTTGACACTGACTAGATATGAAGTAAATTCAATATCAACAGAAGAAAACCAATAATAACTCTCATGTATTGCATCCTCAAGCTCCCTGAAGCATAAACATATTGCAGAGGCAAATGATATTTACTGAAAGAGCTCCCATCAGACCTGGGGTGAGAGGGTGGTGAGGGGAAGACATCAAAAATTAAAATGAATCAGCAGTCTCTCAATTTATCAAAACATTCAGGAAAGCAGCAGATCCCAACCCCCATGAAGTAGTGACATTCTCTTCCTCCACCTGCACATGTCTTTGCTACTTACACTAGCCTCTGAAAAGCTCAATAAATATTAACATGCTGCTCACAACAAGCTGTTGCTCTGAGATATTAGTTTATAAATAATATATATAAATAATGATGAAACCAAGACACCAAAAGATTATATGCCTCGCAGAAGATCACAAGGGAAACCTGGAACCAAATGCAGGTTTCCCAACGCTCGCTGCTGGAACAGGCACCCACAGAACATAATATCACCTGCAAAACAACTCCTAGACCTTGCTAACAGCCACAGGCACCTTCAAACTGGCACAGCCCTACTAGGGAGACAAGGAGAAACTTGTAAATAACCAAATGACTCCAAGTTTTGTAAAATCTCAGCCTAGAGTTCATTAACCCATGCTAAGCATTCCATAAACTATATATGACTACCATTAACCCCCTCCTCAAGATAGCATTTTTATTCTCAAGCCAGCTCTACCATTAAGGCTGTGGAAATATCAGTATCTGATGCAGTCTGACAACTGTGCCATTGAAAAAAAAAAAAAACCCCAAAAGACCTTCCTAAGCTATACTTCAAGCTCCTTACCTCTATCTGTAGATGCAGAATTCTCAGACAGCCTTTTGTGGCCTGCTGCCTCTACAGAACTGTCCATCCGTAGTTAGAATTTTTTCCCCCAGTATTTCTTTCTCTTCAAAATCCAAAACAGCAAGTGAAAAAAAAAGAAGCTACAGGAAAAAATCCTACTCTGCCCACTACCAAAAAGAAAAATATATAAATAATAGATAATGTATATTTAATCCTGGATCTAAGAGTAAAGCAAGTCCTCCAAGTCCAGGAGAATAAATGAAGCAGTCACTTCACCTGTGTATATATATATATATGTGCACATGCCTGGGGTCTTATGACTTTTGACTCACCTGACAGCTTTGCTTGACAGTCAGCTCCTCTCTGTGCCCAAGGCCAGAATTTCCAAGCAAAAACCCACTTGGTAATTAAATCCATTTGCTGTTCCAGCACATTTTTCCCCAATATAATGACGCTTTCATTACCATCAGACCTGCACTTTATTTTTTCCCTTCTCTTTCTCTCACAGAGAAGGGATTCATACCTTGCAGAAATATAGAGGTACACAAAGATAATCAAGATTGATTTTATTTACCAGTGAAAACAGTCATCAAGGGTACAGAATACAGCTATCATTTATGAATGTTCAACACCATACTATAATTTAATACCAGACTTCAAAGAGTTGAATTAAAACACGTAAGAAATTTCACTAGTGTTAAAACTAAAGAAGGAACAGTCACAATCATTTGAAGTTAGCTCGAAACAGGTATTAAATGTGTACATCCCCATGTAGCATATGTACCACATATACTTTGAAAGTACACAGCACATTTATACATTCTGTCATATAATTCTCTAATGGCTATTAACCTGTGATGATGGTTTCAAAGCTGCTAGAAAACATCATCCTATTACTTTTGCAACTCTATTTTCTTTGAGTCAATATTACAAAAACTTTTCAGTCTCGCCTACTGGCAGCACTTTGCCTTTTATAAAATAAAACTTTAACTCTTGTTAGCTCTAACAGCACCTAAATGGAGGACACCTCATCATACTTAAGCCATGAAATTAAAAGCACAGTTAAATACATCAACATCATCTCTAACATAAACAGCGAGCTCATCATTATAGATCAAACAGCTCAGCCACTGTCCTTCAAATGAAAAGATTTTTTTCCCCCTGTATTTCCTCAAGTTTTGGTAATCACGTTTCTAAAACGCCGAGCTATAGGCCTTCTACTACTTGCACAGCTGGTTTACTACAAGGAACTGTTTGAATCGCTTTAAACTGAAAGATGGTAGGTTTAGATTAGATATAAGGAAGAAGGTTTTTTACTGAGGGTGGTGTGAGGCCCTGGCATAGGTTGCCCAGAAAAGCTATGGCTGCCCCATCCCTGGCACTGTTCAAGGTGAAGCTGGACAGGGTTTGAACAACCTGGTCTATGAAAGGTCCACAGCAGGGGGGTTGGAACTAGATGAGTTTTAAGTTCCCTTCCAAAACAAACCATTATGTGATTCTATGATTGTCTGAAATTCAGGATCTCTCCTCCGATGACTTTAACCATTTTTTCATCATTATGTCAACTCTCATTTTATTCCTACTAACATGGCTAAATGTTACACAAAAAGACAAAATATTCATAGCTTTGTCAAACACACAGAAAAAAGCCTTATCTGAGGTAAAACATACCATTCCAGTATTCCTACCAGAAAAAAAAAACAAACAAAAAAAAACACAAAACCCACACCAAAAACAAAACAACAACAAAAAAATCCTCCACACAAATTAATTAAAATACTAAAAACAATAAGCAGATGATAGTGAGTCCTTTAGAATACCATATAAAAGAGTATGTTGGTAGGAAAAATGAAAATGAAATAAACACATGGCTTTCAAGTACATGTAAATAGAGACAACAATAGGTTTATAAACTTGAATGGGTGACAGTCCGTCAACTGCTTCCCTTTACGCAGTGGGAGGAGTCCCCAAAGTGATTTCACAATAAGGTCTCCCATATTTTTTTAAAGAAACATCTATTTTGCCTACACGTGTGTCTACAGACTGGATGCCACACGTTTCCTCTCCCAGCTTGGGCTCCACAACACCAAAACACTATCCACCCCTTTTTTTTTTTTTTCTTTTTAAGCAAACACCTCATCCTTATGATACATCTGCCACCCCAAACTGAGTGCAGCACCACACAAAACTACACGCAGCAACACAGCACGAGAACTAGGATTAGCAGCATAGAGATGAGGATTACATTTCCGGCAGCATCACCACAACATTGTAGAAATTCTTCAGCTAACACACAGCTGGGTGGCTGCTTCTATAAAAAGGAGGTGACTCACCCTCTCTTGTGAAGTACTTTGAGATCATTCAATGATTGTAAGCATCACTAATTACCCCAGGAGCACACAATGAGCACAATCAACCACTGTAATAAGGTCCCCAGGGAAGTGGTGGACTCCACAGCATTGGACGCTAATAAGATTAGGCTGGATAGGGTGCTGGGACATCTATCCTAGGTCATGCTTTGCCTAGAAAGGTTGAGGTTCCTTTCCAACCTGGGATTCTAGGAATCTATGACTCTCCCATCTTTTTTTAACTAAAGGCCTGAGACACAATTTCACCAGGTTTCTAATTACATTTCTCCAAACGATGCGACAAGGTAAGCAGTACTCAGGGATGACCTTCCAAGTGGTGCAGCAGGCAAAGATACACAGTATGTCTACTATGGCACACAGAGGAACTCAGCTCCACTCATTTGCAAACAGACTACAACAGATCCCCTCTAAGGACCAGTCACTTTGAGGTGCTTCTCCATATCAACATGCTTTCATCTTTCTGTGGAAAAGCCATTTTGATCCCACCCGCTTCTGATACAAAGCAACTTAACAGAAGACCATCCACCTCTGCCAAAAACATTAAAGGACAGGACTGCCTCAGTTCTCATCGTTTAACTCACATCAGCCCCTTACAGCATCCAGGTTAAACCTCATCAGCTTTCCTTTTAATCTCAACCCCGTCTCAACTTCTCCAACCCAAAATACAGACATATGTACACTTCCAAAACTTCGATTCCCTGCTCCACGTCTGCACCCCTTCTCTCACTACCTTCTCCTTCCCCAATACTAACCCCAAGACTACTTCTTTACCTCAAGATAGCACTCTCCCCCTCCTGAAAAACATTTCCATCCCTTTCTCTTCCTTTTTCCCCAAGTACAAAGATAGCCTTCCCCTTCCTCACCCCAAACATAACTAGATATTTACCCAATCTCTGTCCTTTCCCTAATATCATAAGAGACACCATTCTTTCCCTCATCATACTAGCAAAAGCCGTAGATCAGCCACCCAAAATCCTCTTCTCCACTTCACTGCTAGGCCAGGCTCAACTGCAATCCTCACCTTTGCCAGAGCTCTAAGACAACCCACACACCTTGGCCAGAACCACTTCCCCCTTTGCTGTCTATCCTTCCCCTACCTGTAAGTCCTCCTTCCCGTAACACCCCCTCCACTTTCAGCCAGACCCCCACCCCTTCTCCTAGGACAACCCCCAACCTCTCCATCTTCACCCTCCTCCCAGGCTCAGACCAAACCGCTCTTCCTACACCCTTACTCAAACACCACCAACCTCCCCCTTCCCTCTGACCCCCATCAGAAACCCCCGGCGCCAGACCAACCCCGTACTCACCTCCCTCAGCGCGGCGACCCCCGCATCGACACTCTGCGCCTGCGCCAGCCGCCCGCTCCTATTGGCTGAGCTGCGTGCTGGTGCTCTCTCCTTCTCACTCCCCGGCCGGGCCCCGCCTGCCGAGCTCTGAGGTTCCGTGAGGGGCTGCGGGAGCCTGTCCTTTCCGCCGCTCGCCCCGGGGTGCTGCCGCGAGGGGGTGGGGGTGAGTATCCGTCCCCCGGTGTCCTCTAAGTTTCTGCGGGACGCAGGCTGCGCGGGCGGACCGAGAGCCTAACTTGGGGATTGCGTGTGCCACGCTTTGTGGGGTCCGGGTCCCCTCCCTGGAGCTCTGTAAGGGGGAGCCGCCTCATGGCCGCCCCATTTGACCCTGTGAGCACACGGGTCTCCCCCTTCACCCTTAGTGTTGTCCCGCTCCTGAAGCCCATCCCTTCAGGTTATATGACCTTATTTCTCCTTGGGCCTCCTCCCCCCGCTTTGTGCTCCGTTTTCCCTGCCTTTCTGGACACCTCCCTTTTATTCACTATTATTAACCTTTTTGGTGGTTGTTTTTTAAGCCTATAATTCCTGCCTGGCCCATAAAGGTTTTGGGGAGGGTGGGGCGTGCCAGAGTTTACACCTGACAAAAGGGTGAGCCTCAGTACTGCCACTGAGCTGCAGTGGTTTTCCAGTGCCCCAGATGCCTAGGAGGTTTCCTTCCCTCCAGTCCTGAAATTAATTCATTTAGCAGGGATATCCCGCTGAAAGTAACATTTCTGTTGTTACAGGAAGGAACCCAGACAGCGTGGTCACCTTGTCAAGAAGGTGATGAGGGAAAAGCGACATCTTCACCATCCATAGGGTGACTGTCTTGTCAAATATCCCACCGGCATAAACTTTATAAACTATGAAAGATCCTAATTAGCCAAACATGGTGGGATGCTCCTGCATGACTTCTTGGTTTACATCCAGCTATTTATATTTTCCTGTGAGTTTTCATGGATTTAAAGACTCAAGCCATGTTTTAAAGCAGTTTTTTTGCTGTAGCATAACAGGATAGCATCTATTCAAAGCTGTCTTGGCCAAGCCAGGAAGGATATCCAGCCTGCATGGACAGGGCAACATTTGCCTGTTCCACTGCCTTTTTTCGTGACTATAGCAGTTCATCTCAGGGTGCATTCTGCCTCCCCGGAGGACACGTTGACTTTATTGAAAAAGTAGAATCATTCACTTACTCAGACTTTTTCCGGGATTATTTGATTCCCAACCATCCCTGTATTTTCTCAGCTAAATTCACTGAAGACTGGGGCAGCAGGAGAAGTTGGGTGACTTGGGATGGAAAGCCTAACTTTGATTATCTGCTGCAGAAGTTTGGTAAGTCATGTCATTGTTAATACCTAATAAGATTTTCTATGCTAAATGACAGCTTATTTTTAATTTTAGGAATAGAACAGCTAAACAAAACCTAGAAATTCTTCAGACTTTTTTCCAAGTTAATACATTCATTTTCTATACTTACTCACACTTTATGTTTTGCAGATTTCAATCTCGAATTTATTCCCACAATGAAATGGTGTTGTATAATTTAACCATACCAA